GACATTGCCCCTGCTTTGTATACAATAAATGTATAGATACAGGTTTTCTGACGTACTCGATAGTCGATATCAAGATAACGAAGTCTCCCGCTTCGCTCGCCCACTCAAAACCTCTCGAATCAACTCGTTCCTGTCTATTAATTATAACATTTTGTTTGTAATAGCCATTAACGATACGCACTCTATTTCTACGCCTTCATTTTTTAATTTCAATAATATTTACCTACAGTTAATAAGCAATAGCTAAGTGTGATATAATGTGGTCGATAATTATAAATAATATTGTTCAATTAGTGGAGAGCCAATATTTTAAACTTCTCATTAAATAGTATAAATAACGTAACGATAACTTTAGCCCTTGTTATCATAAGTCTTTTATCAAGTGGAGTGGCATTTCAAAGAATTCATTTATTGGCGAGTCATAAGATCGACGTCGTTTCAATACAAGAGAGCGTTCTTGAACGGCGACTGTTTTGTTTAATAAAGTGGAAAGTTCGCAAGAGCTGCGGGTAAGATAAGCTGAGCGCGGCCTGCATAAATAATTCATAAAAGAGCTGGCAGCCATTAATGAAGGTCGAAACCGCAGCTGGAGCGCGGCGTCCGCGTGGTTTATTTCTCGAACACAATCGCGGTAAAAGTTTAACGGGCGGAGCGCTCCGGGGAGGTCGCTACCTATTGTTACGAAGAGCCTATTTACTATTAAAATGTTTAATAAACTTTAACCCTGTCTAGTCCTTGTATCTTTGGTTGTTAGAACATCAATCAATCATCGTATTACATCTATTAGGTTAATTTAGTATTTTATCTATACACAAATAAAATTAAAGTGTCTATTTGTAATATTGAAGTACCTGGCTTCTATTGATACGATGGAGTTATTAACACATATAAACAACCATTTTAAAAACATTTGTATCTCTATCTGTCGGGGGTTATCTTCGGAGTGGCTAAGCAAATTGTGATGAAACTTTACAAACAGATAACGAGTAATGCCAAGAACTAGGTAATATTTTATCCGAAGAACTTAGTCTTTTGAAAAAAAAATTGCCGGCACATGCTTATGTTTTGACTATTGTTGTGAGAAAATTAGTATTTCGTTGTGTTATTCTTAGTGATAATTGATAAGTTTACGACGAAAATGAGTGGCAGGAGATCTACTATTTGGACCAATTTTAGAGAAGCTGACGACTGTAATATAATGTATCTTTGTTTGATTCCAAACAAAATTTTATCAAGCTTTCTATTTGCTATAATAAATCTACAGTATCTCAAAAACATAACGCTATACAAGTAGATTTAACCCATAAATAAATATACATTCAACAGTAAAATTATGAAAGACATGGCATTACTCAATTCGTACATTTCTGTACAGTGGTATAATTTGAGTACCATTTTAACGAATGTTCGGTGATTTAGCCGAATTATTCGGTCGAATACGAATTTTCGGTAAAGCTGCCGAATATGCCGAATACCGAATATAAAACAAATATTAGGTCCACCTCTAATTTATAGATCCTATCTTAAGCCGGAGTGAGTCGCTGGTTTCCAAATAAAATTATTTGAGGATTTGTTATTGACGAGTCAACAATTGGTTTGTACAAATTAAATGTTTTGAATGTCGCTTCCTCTGTTATGGAGGTCGTACAAGCGGACTGAAACGCAAGCATTCGAGGCGGGAGACAATAAACTGTGGCGTGCTGCAACGGGCGCGACCCGCATTTGGGTCACCCCCCCCCCCCCCCGGCTTCATGCTACATGTGCATTCATATATCAAGCACGATAGTGATGCTCCCCATTCAAAATAAAAACACTTATTTTAATATGTTTTTATTTCAGTCTCATTTATTACACATTACACATTAGTACGTTACACATTAGTACTTAAAATTTAATCTTAAGGGGAAATATAACCTCAAATGGCTTAGCAAGATCCTCCGTTATGCCATTATTAAAATCAAAATATTGCAGCATTAATTTTGAAATAAATATACGGTAAAGTTGAGGATTATTGTTAAGTACCTACCAAGCTACCACGGTCTTCTTACGCTATGAACAATAGTAATTAATTTCCCTTACCCACCTTTAATCTAATCAGTTTAAAATTACGTTTAAATCTGAATTTTTCTCCAATCTTATTAAGTTTAAATTACGTTAACAGAGTGATTGGTCGTTAAGTACCTATCGTAATTAAGCTAAGTACATTAAATAAAGTTTCAGTGATACATATTTTAATAAAGAACTTCTGTTTTATTCTCTTCAATGTAATAGAGCCCCACCGCAAGATGCAACTCGAGATTAAAAGCTCGACCGACTAAACCACGTGAAAATCGCACAAAAAGAGGAGTCACCCGCGGCATTAGCGGATGAGTGTCGGAGCCATTAGTGCACATCCCCCCTCCCACTGCTACCCACCCTCCATCCCATTCGCTCCGAAACCCCGACGTACCTCTTTTATTTCTCGCGCGGGGATGAACTCCTTAATGACAAACCTTACTATATCTTTTGTGGAGAGCTCTGAAGTACGTATTTTGCGGCCTTTTTGTAGCTCGCTTTTTATTCCGTACCGTTTTCAACTATTTTACCGCAGATGTGCAAGTTGTGTGCTTTCACGAACGTGGAAGTCGTATTTAAGATGCCTCTCTGTTTTTAACGTTAAATTTTGAAAATAATTAATGTTTTTGTATTCCATGTTGTTTCAACAGCCTGTTGTTTTTAGAATTCTATCACGGATATAAGTTCCGAGCAGAATTCCATAGCTCGATGAGCAACGCGAGCTTAAGCTTCCTGATACCACCAGCGGTTTAGGACTACGCCTCAGATCCATGTATCATAATTGACAACTCCCACTAGTTGTACACTCTTGTTTTCAAGTTTTGAAGAATATGTGACAATAGAATGTCGCGTTATTACTCGAACGCTGTCCAGTCGAGGAATATATCCGTCGATTGATCTCTACGTCGGACAATTTGTTCTACATAAACATTCTCATAAACAACTTTGAGCGTAGTGTTCCCAATGACCATAGCTGTGATATGGACATTCCTGTTTATGTTTATTCTAAGACATGTCCGTTGGGAGACACATATTGAGCTCATTAAGCATAATAGTGAGGTCCTTCAGCTATTCTGCCATAATGATTAATTATTTCGGCGGCAAATTAAAGGTGAGAGATGTATTCGTCATTGATGTACGTACAATAGGTATCCTTTTTGGTCCAGTAGCTTGTAAACGTCTTATGAGATGTTTCGTGGATATAACTTCACCCAGTCTTAGACTCCTGTAAGGGTTCCAAACGAGTGCATATGAATAGCCGCAATTTAATGAACGGACAATTTAAAAAAAGCGACTTATAACAACAAAACATGTACCTAGAATTTAAAACGTCGTAAAAGTAATATTTAATAGATTTGTGTAAACATAAAACTTATGATCAAATTAAATATTACATAGGTCTGTACCTTTTAGGTGAGCTTACATCACACTTATTTGCATTACATCATAATTGGGCGTTTCATCCATCCTGTTAAACCTAGTCCTCCTCAGTGTTGCATTATTTAAAGCAATTAACACAAAGTTGGACAGTTTTTTTTGTTTTAGATATATTGTTATTGAATTTTGAATAAATAATAAAAAAATAATTGTATTTTTTATAAAAATTAGGAACACCGTACATCCATAAAACTATTTCTTATTTAAATGTCACTGGTCAGTATTTTATGATTTCTTTGTAACTGAAAATCTCTCACAGCTCAAAGCGAAGATTTTAGGATCTAAGATAAATTGTAAAATTTTATTGATATTTAAAAACATGTTGAGTAGATATATTCTGTGGCACGGTGATAAAGTTTTGTAACGAGCACCGGCCGTGGAGTGAGAATATGGCGTAATTTGCGGTAAATCTGGCGCGGACCGGCTCACACTTGTCATTTGCTGTGTATCGTTTAACCGACAAAAACATTTATTAACATTCCAACAAGATTACCCTTCATTAAAATATTTTTACAACCGACAATTTATGTGAAGTTTTCTTCTGGGTTTACTTTATGCCACTGTTTTGTTATATGTACTTGCGGGTAAAATATATCTAGTACTTTGTGCATAATAATATTAAACATGTTTCGAACAAGTAACCGATATACCGCCAAAGATATAAAAGTTTTAGCGGTTTCGGTTTTATAGAGTTTTGTAAGGCATTCAGGTTTTATGATTTTTAGGGTTCCATACCTTAAAAGTAAAAACGGAAGCTTTAATACTCAGGACTTGTTGCCTAATCCTTCCATCCGTCTGTTAATGCCCTTTTCCTCAGGAACGGGTAGAGGTATCAATTTGAAATTAATATCAATTACGAAGATTTACCGTCCCTTCATAGTGAATTAATCAAGCTTTTATCAATGCCACATTCAAATTATGCGATCATTTATGTGACATATTTTGATACTCACAAACTCACTCATCAAAACCCTTAGGGTAGTTCCCGTTTACTTAGAATCGTGATGCTTTTAAAGAACACACCGCATTAGTAAATTAAAAATTCCAAAATTATTAATTTGTGTAACATATTATGTGTGGATTTATATATAAAAAAAAAGAAAAATATATCTTACATTTGTAGTTAGAGCATCGACCGTAATATTTTAAAAATGTATGGGAGTTTGTCCTTCAATTCGATTTACCTTTTCGTTAACGTTCGGTGCTTACAGTGATGAACTATTTCATACGTTATAAAAATTGTACGTAACCTACAGATGGCCAGACGTTTTCGTAATTGTCCGGTTTCTTTTATTATAATCTGTATTAAATTTATTACTGTAAGACTTTGAATACAAATGTTACTTTTTGCATTTGAAAAAAAAAAGTAGAACAAATCACTATTTCTTCAAAACCATATATCATCGGCATGTTTGTAACGAGGATACAGCTATACAGCCACAGCCAGTACATGATAGTGGTGTTAATTTAGTACGTTGGCGGGGAAACAGTGCATTCATTGGGGTGGAATGAAAGTGCAATTTGCGGTAGAGCGGTCGCTGCGGTCGCTGCGGTCTGACCGCTGTGTCCACCTTGCATCACTCTATTACATCATGTGAGTTCATCATGCGTAATCGGCAATCATCAAAGGTGATTTCTGACGCATTTAAAACGCTACACTGTATTTTTCAATACAGCTGTTAGCAGAATATTGAAACATTTTGCTTATGTAATTACTTTATTATTCCTTACGTCACTTTGTAACTTAGCATAATATAGCCGTGTTCAAGTAAACTTTCTATTTTTCAAACATGTCTGAGGCAGCGTATTGGCAAAAATCATTAAAACATATATTCTGCGATTAATTGATTTTTATTATTGACATCTTAACTAACGAAATGATTAATGACTAATCACAAAACAATCAATTTACGATTACTTAGTTTCCCGTCTCCGAAAGCACATATTATGCTTAAAATTAAAGCTCATTTTTATTTAATATTCTTTTATCGACGAAAAGTGCGCTTCAATAATGTAAAAAATAATGTACTACAGACCGAATTCCGGTCACGGCGGCCTGCCTCGACTGGCCATCGACGCAGGACAGGATCATAGTGCCCAAGTGTATGCGCAAGCACAGGTGCACTCTCTATTCCCTCACTCTCATAATCCGATGGGACGGTAAACCGAAACGACAGGAAAGGTCAGGCGCAGGACCAACGGCTTTACGTACTTTCCGAGGCACGGGGGTGAGACACCGTCAACTTCCTGACTTCAGGCGGCTACTGCAGTTTCTTGACGGAAAAACTCAATAATTAATTTTTTAGCCCGACCCGGGATTAGAACCCAGGACCTCATGACCAGCACTCACACTACTGCAACCACTAGACCTACGAGGCAGTGCTTCCCGGTCGGCCGATCGGTCTGTGTAAAAAATAAGATTTATTATGATTGTATATATTATTAACATATAACCAAATTAATTATAGTTTATTTATCATTTAATATAACTACGATAGAGATGCTTTGTTCCGATCTGAAGGCTATCGAGAGGCAGTATAATAATAGGCAGAGGCATTCATCTTTGTCCACAGAGGTGACAACGTAGTTCCTGTAGCCTACTCTATTTTAATCCGGTTTCTGGGATGCAGTATCCACTTACTATCAGACTAATAGTTCGTTTATCATTTCAATTTAATATAAAAAATAAGACTAAAGGATATACTAAGACTACACAATCTGCTAGTAAATATAAACCGTTACTCTGCTTAGGGTTGCCAGGTCTTAAAACAGGACTGAAAAGCCGGTAAAAAGCCGGACACCCTTAATTTTTAGTCTATGTATAACATGACAATTTTTTTAAAGTAAAACACTCCTTTTTATATTTACCATAAAATCTTGTTAAATTCTAATGAAATAACAATAAAATTGAATAAATCAGTCTTCTTTTTTATTAATCATTCAATATTCATTACAAAATAATTTCGATAATTGTTAAAGTACGTATGTTACATGAAAAATGTAAAAAATGGTCAAATTTAAAAAGCCTAACAAAAGCCGGACTGTGTTCTGCTTTAACTTTAAACGGACGCCTGGCATCGCTAACACTGCTTTTGAGTTCCTTTTACGGCAGCTATGAAAGTCGGACTAACTATTTAGGTACAATCATACAAAACGACATTAATTTGCTATAAATGCAATTATTATTTGTACAGATTTATAATGAACTCTGACACTACCTACGCCAATAAAACGGGTAACAACTGGTTCATCATTTTATTTCGCCGCGTGCATATATTGTTTACCAGATTAATTTATTCGTCGCTTCCCGGTCGGCTTATCGGTCGCAATATGTATGCATGCGTTATTGAAACATGCAATGTGGAAACGTTTTGTGAAACTATATTTATACGTGTAATTTGGCCTCAATAACATTCCGCACTTTAATTGATTACTGCCGCTGTTACTGTACGATAATGTATTCAATCTGTTTACAGATGATAATACTTGTTTCGATAATTTATTACTTAGTCCTATCTTTATTATAGATATTTTTTATTCTTTTATCATCTTTATTTGCATTTATTATAAATTCAATTACAAGTAATAACAATTTTAACCAACTTCGAGAGGTGTTAACCTCTTCTTTATTGACAGCTCTTTTGAAATCTCCAAAAATCTTCATTGTTTGTGATTCACAATTTCTTGTTTTTATTATATTAAAAGAGTAAGAAAATATTTTTCAAACAAATCATCAATCAAATCCGATTACCGATTTAAATTGATTTTCACTGTTACTGATACCCTAAGTGGTTCTACTGCTCAGAAAAGCTATCCCGACATTTTTACTGTTTTAAACTTATTCTTACATTCAATAATTTATATTAACAAGAAAATTGTTAAAAAATATTACAACTTTATTTTGCAGGAAGCAATTTTATTACAGCACAATTTTAAATTTACAGACGGAAATCGCCAAGAGACTTAACGCAATAATAGCTCAGATCCTTCCGTTCCTGTCTCAAGAGCACCAGCAGCAAGTCGCGTCGGCGGTGGAGAGGGCAAAACAGGTCACCATGACGGAACTCAACGCTATCATTGGGGTAAGCCTAATAACATATTATTTTTTAATCTGACTTAAGGAACATAATAAAAGTCAAAGAAATGATCCTTAAATTAGATAAGGACGAAAGTTATAGAGTAGCAACCTCGTTGAAGGTTAAAGGTTATGGAGCAGAAGGAGTGATGGACTGGAAGTTCTCCAGGAAGTCGATGAATGCAGATGGCTCGTGTTGGAATTCTTTGGAGGTCTATGTTTAGTAGTGTGTGAATACAGTCAACTTGTTGGTAGTTCCTGGTAGTTCCACTGTGCCTTTTAATCTTCTGCGTCTATACTCGGTTAAGAATAAAAATAATGTATGTTGCCTGTAAGGAATCGGTTGGAATGCCTCGTTCGTTACCATTTAAAAGCATCTGAAACAAGAGTTATATAGAAGTATTACGTACCCTAACACAAATGCGTCACTATTCACTGGCCCTCTTCTACACCGGCTATGTAAAGTTTTGCGATAAGCTAGAATTGATGGTAGAGCCTAGGTTGCAATGTCAGAGATACAAGTACAATGAAATCAAATTCTGTAAACCAGTAATTTGTATATTTCCATAAATAAAATTTTCCGACAAAGATTCAAACCCGAACTCGTGATGAACAATTCTGTCGTAGATATAGATACATACTTAACAGCAGATGGGTATGGGACGTAAGAACTATTACAACCAATAATTACAATTACCCAATACGTTTAAGTATTTATAGGCGCACGAACGTTTATCTAGTTTTCTCAGTTTACTTTATGTATGTATTATTTATATATATATATATATATATATATATATATATATATATATATATATGTATATATATTGAATAGAATAAGTGTGACAAACGAGCACACAGTCCACCTGATGGTAAGTGGATGCTGCGGCCCATAGACATCTACAATTAATCGCGATTTTGAATCAAAATGCAGATGCGTTGTCAATCCTGAGGATTAAGATAGAGGAATGCGTTGTATCCGTTAAAACTAGTCTCCGGTTATCTACACTCACCATACGAAACACAGCAGCATTACGCTGTTATTTTACGCTGGCATTCTGTGAGAGCGTGGTCCTTCCCCGGTCGAGCCGACCCATTCGTGCTACAACTATAATATAGCTGCAGTGTAGCTCTACCACGTAAAAAATTATACATTAAGTATTTATGAGCGCACAAACATGAATCTAGCTTTCCCAGCTTAATTATATCTTAATTTTATCTTAATAGTAAATTCGGTTATATTTATCTGTGTAAATAGTTTGTATCATACTATGTGGAATAATTGGTTACGTTGTATTATCTCCCAAAAAAAAAAAAAAAACGTAATCTTGAATGATTATATCTGAATCATGTTGAGCAATTTACACAAGCCGTTGATAGGAACACGTAAACATTGAAATACAGCACTATAAACATATATAAATCATTTAAAGTTGTAGCTAGGAGAACTATTAATTTGTTCGCGGTAACGTTACGCTAGAGCGATTTAAACATGTGTTTTGTTTGTACAGCGGCCCGTTGTAAATGTGCCATGGAATGTTTAGCGATGCTATTGCTTCTCCGGCTGCTCATTGTGGCATCTGTCCAAACAACCCACTGTTCGCAATGTCGTATGTTATCGCTTACTGAGACGCCCACACCTGGGTTAATATACAATGTGAATTCATTTTAGTAAATTATCGCTTCGAAATGTCTTTATAGTAACGATTATCTTTCTATTATAGGTACCTATATAAAATTTACAAAATAGGAATTTACCTATATTAACTTGCGATTGTTCGAACCACTTTATAAGTTATTTGCAAACGATTTCTTTCTGTCAAAATATAAACCGATTTGAGAGTTCAAACACTTTAGCGAATGGAATTAAATTATTCGTAACGTACAACGAACTTATTATAATATATAAAATCTTAATATATATAAATTAACTGTCACGTTGTTTGTCCGCGATGGACTCCTAAACTACTTAACAGCTTTTAATAAAATTTGCACACCGTGTGCAGTTTTGTCCGACTTGAGAGATATGATAGTTTTTTTGCCCAGAGTGACCCACAATTTTTCGAATTTAAGTATTTTTAATAGGGCATGACAAAGGGTCGTCGAAAAGGGTAGAACAACGTTTGCCTGGCAAACTAGTACTTAATATATCAATCAAAGACTTAAATCGAGTCATAATTGTCTCACACTTTTGGCGTGTTCTTTGTGGACTGAGGACCTTTATTTGAATTTGGACCTAATTTCAAAAGTATAAGTCTTGAAAACACTCTTAGTCTTATTAATAAAAATACTTAGGAATCGAGTCTTTTACAACACTTCGCAAATCCATAATTTATTTAGTCGTTCCGCACAAATATTTAATGATATAAATGTAGTGTAAGGTTATGGAATATTGAACGTAAATCCTCACTTAACAAAGGCCACACCACACTAAACAAGATTTACATCTATATATAGCTAGGTAAGGAATGTATGAAGAAGGGGTGACGACTAAAATAAGTTATAATACAGCGAAGCCCTGCTTTCAACAGGTCGAAAGTTCAACGATTGTTAATTAAACGATCTAAGCAGTCAGGCTGGCTGCACGCCAGCGCGGGGCATTGATAAAATTGCAGCGAACTGATATATTGTAGGTACGTTCGAGTTAGAAATGAAAATATTTTGGCTCATTAAGCCAATGTCCACCGATTTCGTGCGTTGCGGTCGTCATAAATTTGCACGTTCAATTTATGTGAAATATTTTAGACCAAAACATTTGTCACATAAGTTGGAGCTGGTGATTACTATATGACCACTAATGAGAATGACATAGTTTTCTATCAAAACATTAACATTCTCACCTTTTTATATATTTTCGGTAAAAAAATCTTGGAAGTGCTCTGTAATTTTTATACATGGCAGAGCCGCGCTGCACCTATATTATGTTATAACACAAATGGGTCTGCTCGACCGCGAAAGGACCATGCTCTGACGGAATACCAGCTTAAAATAGCAGCTTAATACTGATGTGTTTTGTGAGTGTAGAGTACCGGAGACCCTTTTTAATGGAAACGAGGCATTCCAACTTAGTCTTCAGGGGTGACAACGCATCTGCATTTTGATTCTTAATCAAGGATAAATATAGTCATTGAGCCACAGGATCCACTTACCATCAGGTGGACTGTACCTTTGCCCGTGTGTCGCCCTTATTCTTAAAAAAGAAATGTAAATGTTTTAAAATGTAAATGTGTATGCTCGTATAAAAAAATTGTTTTATTTTTAAATCTATCAACCTAATTCTATTAAAGAATTGTTTAAAGTACAACACACGTCACGCCCTCCTTACAGTTCGCCACGCGACATTTCAAAGCATTAATTGATAGTCGGGTACCGGGCCAAAATAAATCACTAAGAGATAATGAGCTCCAAAATAAAGCGGTGAAACACTCGTCGCTCATCAGATAGCAGCCGACGGAGACTCGGGTTGTTGAGATTTGGACTTAAGCCAACTCGATTAGTAAACTCAGCAGCCACTCACACACCTAAATCTCTACATCTGCGCCGCAAGAAATTAATTTATTTCGACTGCTTTGAAAACAAAGATATCCACTCATTACACCTATATTTATAATAATTAGTCGTTCAAAATATTTTCGTCAAATATTATTTGAAATAACAGCCAACTGTGTTTTGTAACTTTTGGCCGCGAATCAACTATGTTATAAATTATTTATATGAATTTATGAATCAAGTTCGTAATAGTAGCAAGCGGTAATTATGTCATGTCGTGTCTCTCACATTTTGTAGTTCTCATATTATAATGAATATTACCGCATTTAATACTTCAGAACAGTTTACGTACCGACTTCATTTTTTTCTCAGTTGTCCTTTAAATATCAGCAATATAAGAATAAAATACGTACTTGTAAATGTTTTATTTCCGTAATAGTGCTTTGTAACATTTCCATTATTGACTATTAGGTAAAACAATGTTAGTTATTGATTTGAAAAAGTTTAACGATCCCATATTTTTTCGGGATTACCTACCTATAGAGTTAAATACAAAGGTATAACATTGCTTTCGATAAAAAGCGGCAAAACGCAATATCGCTTTGCCCCTATAAAGCACTCTAATTTAAATAAAAAAGCGGCGCCACCTTCCGTATGTCGGTCCTTTTTTATTACGAACCTTTTTTATTTTCGGGTCAGCTAGGGATCAAAGGGGCTTTCCCCTGAGAGCGGCTTTCGCGCCGCACCCTCCACACGGTCTGATTTGCGACGATTCCGCCGCTCGCCGATTTGTAAAGAGGGAATAGTCCTCGAATTGGGGACTGTTTGCTTGCCTATTAAAATCACTTACCTTTTTGAGTGTACCTACTCGAAATTTAGACGTCTTGTTTTGGTAAAAAGGTTTTATTGACGTTGCAGATTTTTCATTCAAGTTCTCTTTACCAACACTGTCTCTATTTATTTTTTTTATTTTTTTTTTTAAATTTATTCATTAGGCTCACTAATAGTCTACTTAGGAGAAAAGTTTCTTAAGCTAAATGTAGTGACTACTTAGGTACTTAGGTGGTAGTAAACACAGCATGTATCACAACTAAAAAAAAACCTACCTCACCAAACTTGCAATGTTATCGATGATGTTTATCACTTTTTGATAGAATGTGCCCAGAACTCCATAGAAAGAAAAAATTGTATTTTACATTTGTCATTGATTGGCGGTAGGTACTAATAGTATTTTATCAGAGCCGTTATCAGATGATGCCAAAAAACTTTGTGTTAGTAAAATAAGAGATTAAGTAATTAAGAAGGTTATTTGTTAGTATTTACCCTATTTAAGAATTTTGTTGTACCAGGGCGTCATAATCACTTCAGCGACAAGGCCTTTTTGTAAGAATAAAAAATAAAATAAAAAAACTTTAAAAAAGTCTTATTTATGTATATTACTTATATCGATAAAATGTATCCGTTCTGTCGTAGTGTCACAAAGCAAGATACCATAAACAAAGTAACGAAGCGGCAAAG